TCAAAATGGACCCCAAATTCGCCCAGCTCGGTGGCGTTTTACCGCAACCTCCAGTGCCCCCAAGCTCATGGCCCTTTTACACTAGCATTTCCCTATGCTCTATTTCTTCTGAGCTTGCCCTGTTGCATCTCTTTGCTTGTGTCCTCAGCTGGGGTTTCACATCCCAGCATCAACTAGAGCCTGAAGACACTGCTGAGCAGATGGTGGAGCTGCTTCTTGCGCAGCCCTGCTGCTGTCCTGTGGCATTTTGCTTCTGTGCAAGGCAGTGGCTCCCAGCGTATCAGCTGTGGATGTGAAGACCAGACCTAGGGTAAAGTAAACCATGTTTGTTGGTTAACTTTCTGGGGAAAAAAATCCTCCCCTTGTGTTCAAGTACATGGTAAAATTAATGTAGAAACAGGCTGAGAGAGGAATAAGGACAAGGTGGGGATGGCAGGAAATTGCAGTGTGTTCATTAGCATATGAAGAGGGCTATATTTATACCAAGTACAAGGAAGGCAGCATGATCAGGTGGGCATTTAGGAAGGTATTCAAATTATCAGTAAACTCTGGCTAGAACTGCACGTGCCTCTGATGTTCCTTTTGAAAAAACTGATATTCTTTTCTTACCACAGATGAACTCAAACATGCTTGAGAAAAGTCCAAGTCTGAGAATTCAAGAGACTTGGATCAAGCTGCTGACTTACTACCAGCTGTGTGTGCAAAACAAATCACTTCGCTTTCATATGTTCTGAGACAAGGACTACAGTGAAATGAAGATGTTGCCTTGCAGCTTCCTTGAGACATAGGTCGCTTTTATCGGAGATTCCTGGATGATTAGTAAAGTGCCCCTACTGATGCTACCAAAACAAAGTAATCCTCAGTTGGGAAATACCATGATTACACCGCAAAGTAAAAAGCCAGTGTCCTTACAGGCATCATGAGCCTGGCAATTGATGGTGATGATGTGTCCTGTTTTGAGTACAGGTCAGCCTGTTGTGGATCTTGAAAGCTTAGAACTAAGAATATTGATTTATAGAGTTTCTGAATTGTCACTGAAATTTTAGGAGTGTCTTTAAAAAAAGAAAAAGCTTCTACTGAACAATATCTGTCTCCTTAAGTGGTATTTCCTGTGGAGTGAGATACTCTCCAGTATTGACTCTGGTCAATATTTTTGTACAAAATATATGTAGAGGTCTCTTCTGCCAAATCTTACATCATCTTCACTTGAAAGGTTGAATATTATAACCTGTATTTCAAGCAGGATGAAATGGAAGCAAAGAAAAAGCTGCCAGTAGTTTTTACTAGAGTTGCAGTGGAACTGGTCTTTCATTTGCACATCTAGCCATGCTGTGGATTCAATCTGACTTAAGGGAGCAGTTTCCAGAGGACTCACAATTTTGTATGCCAGCCACACAGATCTACAAAGCCTCAGACTTGGTAGGCATGTGCTTCTCTTGCATATATGCACCAAAGATAGCACATTACTGAGTCAAAATAAGATAGTATAGGTATATTTGAAATTCACTTTAATTAACCAAGATTTTCAGTCCTTATTTATAGGCATGAAAAAAGAACCAGATCCAAAAACCTGTATTTAAAAGGTTGGAGTCAGAAGTAATTAATGTTTAAAGTGACTGTATAACCATATACAGCTAACCTACATAAATGCAGATCCTCAAGAGGTTTGTGATTAGTAGTTAGCCTTACTTCTGCCTAATGTATTGGTACCTTGAGATGTAATAAACACTATATACTGCTAAGAATCGTTCACAGTGAGAAGACTTCATTGCAATAACTGATTCTTCTAGTCAAAGTTTTAGCATAAAATAGCATGTTTCCACTTCTAGAGGAAGTTGTCCCTCTGTCAGGCTAAATACTGATAACCTCCCACCTCTGTTTCCTGCTGCTCCTTCCACACATAATGCTGTCACAGCAAGCCCCTGCTGAAAAGGGCAGCATGTGACATTGCAGGTCATAGCAGCTCCTTGGTCTGCAAGGGGAATTATTACTGTGTTACGTGAGACGAATTGCATCTTTCTGGCTGGATTCTCAGTGAAGGAATGTCACACTAAGGGATGTATTAGTTTGCTGCACTATTGCTTGTGCTGCCCTGGCTCAGTGAATTTTATGGCTGAAGAAAGCATGGGTCACCAGTGGATCAATTTTTCAGGCTCCTGCATTTGCCCCTCTCTCTGAATGGGCCTGGCCACCCAGTCCTTGGGGATGTCTCAGATGCATCCCCATTCTCCTGGACTGGAGAATGTGCAAAGTGCCCAAAGACTTCCGGAGATGCCACCTTAATATATTTGGCTCTGTGGCCTCCCAAGGACAGTCAGCAGCATCTGAAAAGTGTGATTCTATGTACCTATTCTTCATATTTAAGACTTTCTTCTCTTGAACTGCATTGTGGAATGCAAACCTGTATTTCTCTAACCCTGAGGTTTTTCAACCTGGCTGCGTTGTTCTGTGGTTATCCACCTTGCTCCTCTTCTATTTCTATAACAAGGCTTTGGTTTGTTTCCTCTTTGCTCATTCCAGACCCCCTTTTCCTCCCTCTTTCACACGAGCCTTCTACCCTCAGTGCACCCCAGCTCCATGACTCATGTGGACTCACCCTCTAGCCCTTGGGCAAACGCCATCCCCGGTGATATGGGATGGTATATCCTCAGCTGTTAGCAAAAATAGAGTGGGGAAAGAGTTGGACACAGGAGACAGGGCAAAACAAACTCAAGTATTATGTAGGAATGTCTTTTTCAATGATGTTACACTGGTTTCTACATGTAGCAAAAAAAAAAATCCAACCAAACTTCTTTCCTCCAAGCCTGCCATTTTTCTCTTTTTTCTTTCTTTCTTTTCCAAGCTTTAGATTATCTCTCTTCATGACCTGTGGTTAAAACACAGGATAGTTTGTTTTTACCTGGGTGCCAGACTTGGATAAATTTAGAAAAAAATCTAATTCTCTCATGGCTTTAAGTTCACCAGCTATTTAAAATAATGACTCCAGATAGTTTCCTTAAAATGCTGAGGATTCATTTAGTTTGTATCCAAGAGAATGACTGTAGACAGGGAGCCTGGAAAAGTTTGGGATGGAGTAGTGCAGCTTCTGCCCTGGGTCCTGCCAGATCTCTCCCAGCCCAGCTCTCTGTTCTACCCAGGAGCACAGAGAACCCTTGCACTGGCTTTGCATCTGCTTGGGTGATGGGGACAAACATCTGTCAGAATTAACTTCTGCACATAAGAACTGTTAACAGAAAATGTCTCTAACAAACTCCTGAGAGAGCCTGATTTTTCTCTTTTTGGAGTTACAAGCTAAGCTCCTATTTCCTCCAGTGGGGCAGTATGGGCTTTTCCATCTATGTAGTACCCAAGGAGTACTGAGGTAAGGACTGCTGTGTGGCTGACACCTGCAAAATTACAGTGCTAGGAAAATGGAATGTTATGGATATTTATTCTCATCAAAGCAAATTCTTTCTTTTTCTTTCAACACATTCCACTTGTTCTCCTGGGCTGTGCAGCCCATTATTGCAAATGTAGCAAGAGCTTGTCTATTAAAAGCAGAGGCCAAAGTATGCTCAGGAAAGTATTACAAGTACTGTATTGCATTTGTGCACACCTGCTTATCATGCAAACATGTAAATATATATTTGTTTGCATCTTCTGAGAGAGTTATTCATGACATGAGGGTGCATATATCGTAGGTGGTCTTGTTTGGAGTTTTTACTAAACACAGGTCCATGCACTGAGGCACTTTCTCAGACATTACTCAGGAAAAACTCACAGCTTTAACATTATAGTTCTTATATACATGCAAATTCATAATACTTTGCACGGCGTTTTTCTTTCAGTACTTTCATTGTCATGAGACACTACAAAATATGTTCAACTGAAGTGCTTTAAAATATATATTCTATTATAAATTTTCAGACGTCTTCAAGTTGACTGTAAGAGATTTAACCTCCTTTTACTCAAAAGAAAGACAGGATTCTGTTTCTAGCCCAGAATTCATGGAGCACTTGGTCAAATTTCTGTCCTTTTGCATTTGCCACTTCTTCCTCAAGTATTTCTAGATTCTAGAACTTTTCTGCATTTCTAACTGCTCAGGATAGCCATTCCAAACTGAAGGAAACGAAAAAGTTGTTCTTGGACAACAGTTGACACTAACCAGAGTTACCAGGTTCAGAGAAGGAATTAGGGCTTGCTCAATAAAAACAAATAAGATCATAGCCAGTGGTTTTGGTTAAGAAAATAAGTTCCAAAAAGTATTGAAAGGGTAGTAAAAAGTTCAGCTCTTACCTATCACTTTGAAAATGTGTTAATAGATAAGATTTTAGTAATTTTAAATTTATTTATTAAAAAGGGCTAGAATGCTTTCTTCTTTCTTTTTCTTTCTCAACAACATACACAAAAGCAATATCCCCCAAAGCAGACTTGCACTAGGACATGAGATGGAAAACTTATGTTATAAAACCCATCTCCTTTTGCTTAAAGCAGGGAGATGTGCTGAGAAACTGGTACAGTATGACAACATTTTAAACACAGAGGAGACAAGATTTATCTGGCTGGTATACAATATAAAACAAAAATCGAACACCAGTGTTACAGTGCTATATTGAAACAAACCACAGTAATTAGATGCTTTGAAGTCAAGCCTATATTTTCTTCAGCTTTTTCATGAATTATTGATCCACTTTCCTCATTAAATGGAATGGCAAGCTCTTGCAGTAAATGGACAAGTGGCTACAACATTTATATAATCAAATATGCTCTGCATCTGGCAATAAGACATGTTTGTGAGTAAAACATCCTTTCTGAATTGACATCCCTGCGAAACAGATTTACTAGAACAATCACATTCCTTTTCTTTTGTCTCTATAGCACAGCTTGCCTTGCATCATCATACAATCCAGTATTTTACTCTGATCGTATTAAGCAAAATATTTTCCAAGAGCCTGTTTCGTGCACTGTGCAACAGAACATTTCTTCTCTATAATGAGATGTAAATAAACCGTCTCACTTACCTTATTTTCTCCATTTCTGCTGCAGAGGCCTACAAGAAATCAAATAATAGGAGCAAGTGAATGAAAGAAAACATTCACTCTGCAGATTTATGCATAGTTAAGGCTTTCCGAATGGTTCTCGGCAAGTGGCTACAAAGCGCCGGCAAGCGAACCCCACATCTGCATTAGCCGAAAATAACACTGACAGCTGAAGTGGGGAATAGAGCCGCGCGCGGTGGGAGCCCTGTATACCCACGAGCCATGGGCACCAGAATGACTCAGTTGTAGCGCTGAGGCAGAAAACGGGGAGGGAGAAAAAAAAAAAAAAAAAAAAGCAAGCAGCAGCAAGTAACAGGTTACTGTGCCTCCTGGGTTTCCGAGGGAAAGTTGAAATGCGGTGCTACCCTCTGCGCGGTGGGCATGGCAGCGGGCTGGGCTGGCGGGGAACGACAGTGACTTCATCACACGTGAATTTGGAGCTCAATTCATCGTCTTTCACAGAGCCCGACAGATGGAAGGACACAAGCTTGCCTTCTTAGTGGGAGTTTCGAGTAATCAAATTACTTTCCCCGAGTAATACACTATCTTGACAATTAACATCTCAATGCATGGAAGCGTTTCGTTAACCCTTTCGCTGCTGCTGACCCTCGCTGGAGATCCCAGCCCCGGTACCTCCTCCGGTCCCTGCCCCGCCGCGCCAGGCTCCCGTTAACCCTTTGCCCGCGGCTCGGCTCTCTCAGAGAGAGAGGCTCTCCTTGCACCTCCACAGACCCGGCACAGCCGTGGGTGGTCATTGCATTAACCTGCCTGGTTTCTTTTTGCCGTATAGACGCTGTAAATCCCTACTTATCTATAGCATGGAGACTCATTAATCTCTCTGACATTACTTATATCAAAAGCATAGTCTTGTTAACCCTTTGGCTTCTTTTTCATCATTATCTTGCACAGATCCTTAATAGCTGCTCCCATTTCATTTCAGCACAACACTGACACAAAATCTCATCAATCCTCCAAGTCCTGCTTCATTGTAACTAAGGAATGAGCACTCGAGCAATCCTGCAATCTCCAGAGCCAGATAAATCCCAGCATCACAGAATCTCTTATTTATACTGAGAGCATTGACCATTAATCATGAACACTTTAAACCTTATTGATTAATGGCTAACAATCATATCTGAGTATGAAATAAATTAAAGATTAAAAATAGAGAAATGTAAATTTAATCAGTTAACCAGCAGGAAATTTGTCAAACTGCCTACTAAAACATCCCAAGTGACAAATTGTTGGTACTTCATTGGGTCACAGGTCTTCCCTCTTTCTCATTTACTTTTGATTTGCTCACTAGATAAGCTATCAGTCAGGTTGGTGTTTGCATGGTAATTTTTGATGACAGACATTAAAGATTTTAGGCATTCACCATAACTTGATATGTAGGAAACCAGCTGCAGGAAAACCCCTCCTCAGTTTCTAGTAACATATGTAATACATGTTTACATGGTCCTTGTAATGTCTGTTGGAATCACAAGGTTGCCTGTGATAAATCTCAGATTTTGAGATTAAAAATCTAACCTAGGCACCCATAACTTCTCTTATTTATATCTATCCATTGAATCCATGCATATTCAGTGGTACGCAGGAAATAGTTTCAACATCACTGATCAGAAAATGAACCACTCAGGCTTTCTCCCCAGGCGTGAAAAGCTACTGGCAGACCCCATGAACTTGCCAGTTTGGCTCTCCAGAGATGGACTTTCATAAACTGTCCTAATCATCATGTTGCTGTCATTTTGGGGAGATTGGACATAGTTTTCTTCAGGGCTACTTACTATTGCTTTGCCTTGAACTCTGGGAGTCGCCCAAGAAGGCAGGGTACTTAGAGTATCTGATTTCAGAACTTCTGTTGTGGCAATATCTGCAGACATAAGGGGAAGCTACCTGGCCTTGCTATTATCTAGTGCTTTGAATATTGCTGCACTCATGGGGTCAGTGTGGGGGTTGCTTTCTGTGACTAAAGCAAAAGATGGAGAAGAGAAGCTGTAGATTGATGTTCTGGTGATATTCATCTGTGAATGCAGGTGAGTCATTGGCTGCCAATCCTGACAGGAAATTAGTGGGGGAAAAAAACCACAGCAAATGTCTAACACCAAAACAAACAAGAAACCTAAACCAAGCTGCAATTAATTTTTTTTCTCTGTCAGGGCTGTTTTTTTACCTCCTCACAGTAAAAGCTGTTTGTTTCCTGTAACAGGGTAAATTTTCTTTTGGACCAGCAAGGATGTTCTCCTCAGCCTTTCCTTGACAGTCTGTGAAGTAAAGAGATGGTTTCTCTCTGATGTGGGAACAATGGATTCATACCAGTCCTCCTCAAGAAGAATCCTCTGACTCAGGTCAGAGGCCTTTCTGAGCTGCAGCACTGCAATGTAACTGCTCTGTTACATCTTTTGATGGGGAGTAACTTCTAGTAAATAAATAGGAGCACAATAGGACTAGAGTTTGTGTGTTCTTCAGGGGAATGCCCTAGCTCTCAGACTAGAGTCAAATGAGTATAAGAAACTAGAAACAGTGAAAGAAAAGATAGGAGCATCTGTAGAAATATAGCTTTAATTCCAAGCAGTTTATTTTCTCAGAGAGTTGTGTTCCTTAGGAAGGTCCTTTTTTATCCCTTTTTTTTTGTCTTTTCTTTTTCTTCTTTTTCTTCCTTTCCTTCCTCTTCTCCCTTTTTTATTTTTATTTTGTTTCTTTTTTCCCCAAAAAAGCCTTAGCAACTCACAACTATTTTAAAAGTCTGTGGTTTTCTGAAACAGCTCTGTTGCCACAAGGTGACATTTTTACTAAGGCAAAATTGCTTTTCCTAGCCAGATCCCTGCCATTGATTTAGCCTGTGGAAGTTTAGAGGTTACATCATCCTCCCACTGCTCTCTATGAAGTCTGAAATATCCTACTAAATTGATCTTAAACTATATTCTAAACAGCTCTGAAATGACCAGTTTTATGACCAATCTTTTCCTGAAAGTCTTGTGGGACATATTTCAAGCAAAAAGAGTGAAGTAAAGGTTGGTGTAAGAATGTCCTTAATGTTATGCCATTCATAAATTGCTGCTTGATAGTGTGTTGATTCATTTCAAGTAACTCCTGATGCCTAAACTGAGCAGTGATTGAAGCTGTGTGATTTTTTTAAATGAAATATTTAAAATTAAAGCAGTAATTACCTTTAATTACAAAAATATCAAATGTGACTTATTTACCTGTTGGTTTTTTTATTTTTTAAATGATATCAATGCAGTGTGACTAAAGAATTTATTTAATCAGCCTAAAAATAACAATTTTTGCTTTCAACAAAAAGCTTGGCCTACATTTTCATATACAGTCTCTTACTTAAAATACTGAGACTGGTTTGAAGATTTTACTTTTTACGGAAAGACTTGGTGTGGCAACTTTGCCTGGAAGGACTTTCGGGCGATACTTAAAAGTACTGGTAGAGACCTGATTTTTTTTCAAGTTTTTGAAGGAAGCAAGTGTAAAACAACTGGACTACCAAGACTCTCCTTTTCTGGAAGTGCTGAACATTTAAAAGTCCATTTTGGAGCAGATATTAAAAAAAAAATCAGCTATTTTTTTAATATAATCCCCACACACACACTTATTCTAGATTTCAGGTTGATATTTCTTGATATTCTTTGAGAACAAAGTCATTTGCTGGCTTGGATGAAAGCATGGATGCTGTTAATGGAAACCCTAGGAAATCTAACTGTGGCTTTTTTCCCCTTTAGGATATAGTTATTGTTTTTCAGACAGCATGACAACCTCAGTTGTTTTCAAGTCAACAGTGTGAATGAAGAATACTGTGATCCCCTAATTTTTTCTTTCCATGTATCATTAATGAGTCAAGCAACTTCAAGACGATGGCAGAATGTTGTTAGTCACTGACATACATAAAATTTTATATAGCATTATATATATTCTTTGATATTTTTGTTATATGATCAATGTCTATAGTATTGATTATTGAACAAAAACCTTTTTAAACAAAATAAAAAGTTGTGCTGATGGTCTATCTATCATTCTATTCAGTTTAAATTGTGTTTATGTTTTATTTCCTCTCCTGTATAATCACTTTCTGAGGGACAAGCAATCATGAGATTTCAGATCTTCCAGATGTCTAATGAAATTTCCTTCCCCTAAGATCTTGATGTTAATAATTTTCATCTTTTTGCATCTTCCTAATGTATGTGTGAAAAAAGAGGGGTACCCTGGAGGTGAATTTTTAATTTTAATTATTACTTTTTGGAAAGAGCTATTTAGTTTTAGAGGGAGGGAAAGATCCAGAGCCTGGCTCAGTGCTCAACAATTCTTCCCATTGTGTTCAGTGGACTTTGGATTGGGATGTTGGCTTGTTGCTACCAAATGCACAAGAAAAGAAAGAGTAGCAGGAAGTTACTCATTCAGTCTGTTTTTACTCAGGCTTATTTATTATTGTGGAAGTTACTTTTATTTCTGTGGTGGAGAAAGCTGTAAATTAGAGTTCACTCACAACTAAAGTCATCTGGACTTCTGGCATATTTATAAACTGCCACATGTTTTCAATCCAACTGTATTACTTCAACATTTCTTTTGTGCTTGCAGTTGTACTAAAGTTTTATTGATAGGAACTGCTGTGGTCCTTTTCCTTTCTTTTCCTATAGAGTACAAGAGTTTAAAAATTACAGACCATATAATTTAATAGGATCAATCTTTAATTAGACTCTCAATCAATTTTCAGAGATTTCTTTTATAGGTTTTAAGGTATCACAAGCACTGACAGAAGAAAGACTAAAATTTAATCTGTAGAAACTTTAATAAAACTGGAGGAAATGTCCTCCTGCATTTGTTTTGGCTTCATGTATTGAGGGTATCTGATAGATGTTTACAAAAAAAGAAGAATCTCTCTATAAAACTCTTGCCTGAAATTGTCATGGAGATACATAGAAAATTGAGTCCAAGTCTCCACAGTTGCCACTCTAATAGATACATACTGTATTAGATATCTTTTTCAGAAAGCACGTCCTCCAAG